CGCATGGCGAGTTTCCTGCAGGACACAGGCCGTAAGGACTGGGTCCCAGCCTGGGCGCCGGGCAGCCCAGTGAGGCCTGCGGCGGAGGCTTTAAACTGCCTGGTCGCCACGTTAAAAAAAAAAGAAAAAAGAAAGAAGAAGAAGAAACAGGTGAAATTAATTTTAACTGTATGTTTCATTCAACCCAATATTTCGATTCGTCTTTACTGTAAAGCGCGTTCAGACATCCCGCCGTTGTTTCCCACGCCGAGCCTCTGCGTCCAGCGCGTCTCTGCCCCGGCTCGTCCCATGGTGGCCCGCCGTCCCGGTGACGGGGCTCTGGCACGGCGCCGCTGCTGTTCAGAGTTCGCTGTTGACGAGACAGGCCATGGCCTCACGCGTGCGGTGGAGGCTGGGACGTGGCGTGTGGCAGACACGGTCCTGCCATGGCCTTGGCCTTGGCCGGCCTAGAGTGCGGTTTTCCAGATGTCCACTTGGCTGGCCTCTGTCGCCTTCTTCCAGCCTCCCTCAGGGAGCGCTTCTGCAGCGCCCAGTGCCAGCTCCGGACAGACGGACGGTTGCAGCCCCTCTCCGCACCCCCACACTCCAGTCCCCCCACCCGGCTCTGCGTTTTATCCTCCCCCGACTACGCCCGCCCCCGGCGTCACGTGTTTGTTTGTCGTGTTGTTATTCACCGGCTGGGACGAGCCCCCAGGCCCAGGCCATCCCCCGATTTCTCAGTGAGGTGGCCCACGGAGCTTGGCAATGGCACCTATGCGTGTGCATTGGATGGACGGACGGACGGATGGATGGATGGACGGACGGACGGATGAATGGATGGGGATGATGGATGGACGGACGGACAGACGGATGGACAGAGGATGGACGGACAAATGGATGGACGGATGGATGGACGGATGGATGGATGATGGATGGACGGATGGATGGATGGATGATGGATGGACGGACGGACAGACGGATGGACAGATGGATGGATGGATGGATGGATGGATGGATGGACGGATTTATGGATGGACAGACAGATGGGGGATGGAAGGTCCCATAAAGGTTTTCTCACGATTCCCGCTGACTTTGAGCACAGGCCTGCAGCTTGGGCCGTGCGCGGGGCGGGGACGCTCCCCCTGGTAACTTTGATTCACGGGGCGCCAGCGCCCTGACACAGTCTTAGGGTTTTTTTTTCTCCCCTCCCATTCCCAAATCGTCCAAAGGGGAAGCTAGCTTCGCGGAGAACTTCATGGCAAGAGCGCGCTGGGGTGCGTTTAAGTTCGCTTTCTCACGTTCCCCATCTTTGCTTAGGCACCAAGATGAAAACTACGGGAATTCAGGGAGAAGCTGGGAGGAGAGCTGAGCAGCCGGACTTTATTTTTCGAAAAGGAGTTTAAATGTTGAGATGAGTAAGGGGCGCAGTTCCGAGCACTGGGCAACGGGCAGGGAGTGTGGCTCGAGGCTGCCGAGGGCTCGGTTGGGTTTATCATGCTCTTCGGCTCACATAGGAAAGAAAAGGACGGACCCCAGTTATTTGATTAGAATCAGGGTATTTCTTGTTTCTTACAAATTAGGACAAGTATAAGTATTATCAGAACAGAATCTCAGGAAGCATTTGGAAACTGGAGGTTCACCTCACTCCCCGACCTAAAGGAAGGCTTTATCTTAGTGACTAGTGTAAGTGCTTGATGTTTCAGCAAGAAGCTGTTAACATGTAACTTCGAGAAGACAATTTGACAATGTATCTGGAGTAATTACCACACTCTTCCTGCTTAGCTCCGCCCCAGTTCCTTCAAGGTTTGTTTACTTTTGGATTCACATCCCCTGAGGAGGACCCGGGTTTTCGGGAAAGATAGAGAGAGCTTGCTTTCCAAGTACTGTGCTTTTTAATTGGTAGCAGGATCACATTTTCCCATGGAAATAAGCACGAAAGCTGTTTTATTTCGCAGGTCTGGCTACTTAAAGCAAAACGGATAGACCTGACTGTCTAAGCTGTTACTAAAAATGGCCCAAACAGCGCCCCCCTTCCCCACCCTCCCGCCAGGCTGTGAGACCCCATCACGTGCGCAGGAGGCCACTGGTAGAAATCAGCTTCTCTGCTCCTTGGGCTTTGTCCTCCAGGGTCCCTCCCTCGGAAGGCGGCCAGGGCCAGCCGCCAGCCCCAGGCAGTGGTTGGGTCCCAGCCGTGTGCTGGGTTCAGAGGGAGGAGGCCTGACATGCAGGCAGGCCCACCCCAACAACCAAGCTGGGGTGGGGGGCTGCAGGCCTCGTTTTCTCAAAGCCCCCCTGGGGCTTCAGCCGCCCAGACACACCAGAGGGAATTGCGACGCTCTGACAGTAAGAAAAACTGAGGCCAGGGCTTAGCTGCGGCTTCACCATCCGTTGACTGGCTCCCTTGACCATCGGTCTGTCGGCCCGCACCTCGGGTGCTGGGGCACCCAGCCGTCCGATTAGCACTTGGCTGTGAGCACAGGCCCCGGGCCCAGTCAGGGCGCCTCGCTCCCAGCTGCGGGGAAAGCCAGCTGCCTTCACTGACTTACTGGAACCATCAAGCCCATAAAGCCTGCGGCTGGCTGCAGGGCTCAGAGGAGACTCACCTCGCGGGAGTCTGGGGGCCACACCCAGGGCCCTGCCTTCCTGGAACACCCGGGGGCTGCTGCAGACTGGGGGTGACAGGCCACTTCCCAGGTGGGTACGGCGTCACCCCCAGGAGGCGGGATTGAGGCCGAGGGGCTGGTGTGAAGGTGAGCAGATCTCCTCCAGGGACAGGCGGGAGCTGGGGCGGGCTTTTATTCCCCAGGGGTCTGCTGGGGTTCCCCCCTGCAGCACGTCCTGCGTGTGTCACACACAGTGTCGCTCCTGCCGACATTTCTTACTTTACTAAAATCCCCCAAGAGTGCTTTCGTCCCGCCTCCGTGAAGACCGCTGGGGACGAGGGCGGCAGGAGGGGACGTGGGGCGTCAGCCGTGCCCCCCTCCCGCTGTGAAAGCCTGGGTGCACTTCAGCGGCGGTGGTGAACTTACCAGTTATGGGGGCCGTAGAATCGAGACTCGGCCCCGTGGAGTCTGGGAGGGATCGTGGGGCGCTGGTTTACCTGTGCCGTCTGACTGGGAGAGGTAGTGTTGGCTGCTGTGTGATAAACATGCACAGGTGTGAGCAGGCGGGAGGGGCCTGTCAGGTGGCCAGGTGGCCGGGGAGCCGGGAGCGCCAGGACGCCTCTCAGCCAGGACACCTCCCGGGGGTGCAGGGAGGGCGTCGGTGCTGGGGGTGCTGGGAGCGCTGTGAGTCAGGCTACGTAGGGGGAGCATGAGGTTCGAGGCCTACGTCCAGGTGGGCCCAGCAGGTATGGAGAGTCTCCAAGGTGCAGGACACTCCCTGAGGAGTCTGGTCCCACGTGCCCAGGTCCTGGGGACTCGGGAGGGACATGGCCATGCTGACGCAGAAAAGCATCTCAGAACAATGCGAAGCTGCAGACGGCTCGGTGACTGCTCAGCAGCCCTCACGCCATCTCCCGTGGGGCTTGTGTCCCATCTCCCTGGGGCCGGCGGGCGTGGGAAGAAGCACACAGGGCATCTTCTGCCTGATCTGTAATTGTCGCTTGAAGACCTCATTTTTAGGGCAGTTTTAGGTTCACAGCCACGTTGAGGAGAAGGTGCAGACATGCCTGACACACCGCCGTTCCCACATACACAGCTGCCCATCACCCCCCTCCCCCACCAGACGGCCCCTCTGTCATCCGTGAACGGACACTCGTCCACAGTGACATCAGTGACCCTTGGGGTCGCTCCTGCGTGTTTGGACAAATGCATCGTAACACGTACCCATCATTACAGTGTCTCACAGAGTGGCCTCACGGCCCTCACACCCTCCGTGCTCTCCTGTCCACCCCTCCCTCCCCGTAACCCCTGGCAACCACCAACTGTTTATTATGCCCACAGTTTTCCCTTTTTCGGATTCTGTAATTGTTTTCGACCAAAAGAAAAGTACAGTATAGTGACAAGCAGAAAAGGAGAAGCTGTTTTCACCCTTCTGGCCGCAGTGAGGACATCGGAGGGAGTTGGGACTTGGGGAGACGTGGGGGACATGCCAGCTCCGCGGGCAGGAGCCATCAAGGGGTCAATGGCGCCCAGCCTGAGAGGCAGAGAGGAAGGTCTTGCTGCTCAGTAGGAGGGGAGGAGGTGCCGGGGGCAGGATAAATGAATGCGTCTTAAGACACTGAGCTCGGGCTTCTGGACGGACGAGAGAAACGGCCACCAGTTCCTTAGTCGTTTGTCCAGCTTCTTCGTGTGACAGACTAGGTTTGGATGTGACGTCACGACACGACCAGACACAAACGTGCACATGGACGTGAGTGTGAGAGAGATACAAACGTGGTTTACTTCCAGGATGTATCACCCCCCAAGCTTTTACACCTACGTGAATAGTGTCGCCTTTCAAAGTTGTCACCTTTAGAGGCAGAGCCATGCGGGGCACAGAGCTGCTTCTAGTTTCCCCCAAGTCCTCCGAGAAGGTGTGGGGCACGGCCCAGGTTCATCTTGATCACGTATTACTGGTAGCGTTCGGGTTTAATTTAACTTTTCTTTTCATAAAATCGCATCCCTTATTTTGTATTTAAGGTCATTGTTTCGTTTCTTTTTTTCACGCTGGTCGCTGGCGATGAAATTATTTTTCATCTTCTCGGATCACTGACCCATGGTCCTTTTCGGTACCATTTTCTTTGAATTTGGCTGACTGCAGATAAACCCCTGCCCTCCGCCTTGTTTTGCAACTGGAGGGCTGTCGCCTGCAAACCCACGGGCAGTGGAG